AAAAAAAAAAAAAAAAAAAAAAAAAAAAAAAAAAAAAAAAAAAAATTGGAAAAAAAAAGAACAAAATAGATAACAAATATATAATGTAAAAGAAGGTAAAGTGAGATAGCCGGATAGTCCAGACGTCATTCATATAAAAGCACTCTCAAATATCTTTGAAATGGATATATTTATGACCGTGTCTGTCCGAGCTGTCCCCCTTTGCTTATATTTATTTGTTTGTGCGGCATTCAAGAAGTAAACGATTTGATTTGATTGCGTTCCTTAACTATTGCCTTGCATAATATACACATATATAGTACGATATTTAAATATATAAAAATATATATTCACTTCCCTTTTTTCAAACTTCTCACATTTAAATAAACAAAAAATGAATAAATAAATTATCAAATTTAATGTAGTCTTTACACGAGTAGTCTCTATTATTGCGACATCATAGATTTTGATTTACTTATCCTTTCATTTATCTCTCCCCCTTACTAAAAACTCTAGCGGAGGCGTCAAATTCTCAGATTTAACCGCGGAAGAGGGTAAGTTCTAAGAGAAGAAACGAGCAAATTCAAGACTTTAACTTTGCAAGCATATTCCCATATCTACAAAAAAAAATCCCAACACCACTCTCAAAAATAAACTTTTAATATTTAATCTAAGTCTAAAGATATTGCTAGATTTAGATTAGTTTAGTAGTTTAGCTTTTGCTATTTTGTCTTTTAAGATATTTTTGTGGTCATATAATGAGAGCTCGAGAATTTTCAATGTCTGCAGAATTTATTTGTTTCTTGGGAGAATTGTCAAGTTCGTTTTTTTTTTTGAGCACAAAAATAAAACAAAAATATTTACTTGAAAAGCACAGAGGAACACATGCTTTATATCTATATATATATGTATATGTATATGTATGTATATGCATATATTGTTATATATATATATATATATATATACATTGAGTCTTATATCAGTGTTTATATTTGTGTACAGCCTCCCACAAAGCGTATTTCTTTGAATATCTACAGCAACAGCGACTAGCTCAGCTGCCAGCTAGAAAGTATATACTCTATAACAGCGTACAGTCTCTATAGACGAAATAGTCTATAGAGAGAATATCATCTCTATACTCTATAATATAAGCTATATAACTTATAAACAATATAGTCTACATTTTCCATAGATAATTTAGCATATACTATACTACTTATACAATATAGAGCTGTATGGTGCATATACTAAATACTCTATATATTATATATGCTCGATATACTATACTGTCTATATAGTATATGTCCTAAAGACGAGATAGTCTCTGTACTCTATTTGCTTTTCGTTTTTGTTGTCGATTTGTGGGCATCACTGTCCGCCCCCTTTTAGAATGTCACGTCTTCAGTCTTTACTGAAATGAACCTTTGTTCATTTATGTAATTTGCTTCATCGCTGTTCAAAAGAGACAAAGGAAAATGTATATATATATATATACATATATAATTTTGTACCTCAAAAAGTCGATAAATAATGCCCATGAATCCTTAAGAATTTGCGTGTCTAGATGTCGTTTGTATAACGATTTTCAAAACTAATTTGTCAATTGCGTACTTAAGCCATGTGATGGGACTTTTTTGTCGTATACTCTGTAAAAGACGAGAGGTAGTTAAGATTGGCTAGTATATCTATAGAGCTGGCCGTATTCTTATATAGTTCTGTTTAGTTTATGCAAGTTAAGTTCAAGGAGCTATTAGAGAACAAACATGAACACTTTTAATATATTTCTATATCAAGATGTATAGGATCAATATAGATTATACCAAGTTTCCATTGCTTGTTTTCAATATTCATCGAATTCATCGTGATCAATTTATATAGAATATATGCCCAGTATCCCATTAATTGCGTATGAGTAAAGTATAATAAAACTATATGTATTACTTCTATATTTATGCATCTAAGGTAGACTACTTTCGAGTATCTCTAGAACAGGGTATCTTCCCAGTCCATGCATGCAGCACGTAGTTCAAAGCAACAACAAATTTAAGTGATTACGAAAAAATACACTCTTAATGAGTTAATGGCCTGACTTATAAAGTTATAAATAAATAAAAGAAAAATATAAGAAGTATTAATCTGCTTTTGGTCACGAGTGCAGAAATCGAAATGTTCATAGAGTATATTTATAGGATTGAATGGTTGGCTTATATAAATTTATTATTTTCTGCTGTTTTTTTTTTTTTTTTTTATTAATATTGATATCGCGACATTGATAAATTCTATCGCAAATACAAAAAAAAAAAACACCCGCACACAGACCCGCTCACGCCAAGCACCTTCGTTCACAAAGAGCTGCCTTTTGCTGCACCGGAGCACAGCATGATCGATTTGACTGCATCCTGTCCACGTTGCCTGGCCAAGGCTGCCTCCAAACCCTATGTCAACGAAGGTGAGAGACAAACAGAAACACAAAAAAAAAAAAAAACATTTTTCAAATAATTCAAATGTTTTTTTGTTTCGCTAAAAAACTTCATCAACTTTGTTGCTCTGTCAATATCAAGTGCTTGTGTGTGCGCCTGTGTGTGTGCGTGTTATCTTGACAACATCACTATCTTAAACAGATTTGTTGTCATTGTTTATATATATATATATATATATACATATATATATCACCTGTCTGATCCGTTTGCTTTGCCAGCAATTTTTCTTGTTGATTTGACATCTATTTTCCCCTCTAATGCTTATTGATATTTGTGCTAACAAATCGAGCCTGATTAAACATTCTTATGACTTCTATGTATACACATATCACATCTCATATCATATCAAAATATTGTATAAATATATCAAACATATGATATGATACGTTTTCATGTTTATTTGTACTGCTTTGTGCTGTGTTTGCTCTCTAGCAAAACCGTTAACTAATGTCTCTAATATCATGTATATAAATATATATATCATATATAGTATATATATATATAGTTTTTTTTTCACTTTTATAATTTTTGAAACACAGCATTTTCGCGCGAATTTTTAAATGGGACATTTATATTTAGACGCACATCTAGTACGTAGATTTCTGCTTAGATAGATGAAATATATGCAAATGTATGTATATGTATGTGTACATATATATTTAAAGAACACGCTGCTTTTGTGGCCAGTTTTAGGTTCTGACTAGCACGTGCCTATGAATAAGCGCACATAAAATAATTTTAATAGCTAAACCATTTTTATAGCTGAACGGCAAAAATTAAACAAATTAATAATAATAAATTTTAATTTCAAATGTTATATACATATATCTTTATATAATACAAAGTAACTGCTTTTAGTTAGCGAAAAACGGCATAGCTGAAAAAAATGCTTGTGAGAGTACCCCTAATATACATGTGTACGTGCTTGCATACGCAGGCAAAAAGAGTCTGTAAAAGCCCATTTAATAAACGTTAATTGCAGCTGTTAAATGAGTAAACGAAAAACAAGTCAGCATGAACGTCCAAGAGATACCCTGTAGTGCCACAGGGCTCTAGGTATCCAATTATATGGCTGTAAATATAAAGTATTTTTTTACTTTTATTTCTATATAATTCACTAGGTATAAATATGCCCAAAATATTCTTTAATATAAAGTAGTTTGTTATCGATTTCTTATCTAATGCAAGAAAATTAAAATAAATATTGATATCTTAAGACAAATTTGAACTAAGAGAATGTGAAGTGAACCAATTTATGACGATGGGCGAATAGATAGCTACGCAGGCGGAAAGACGGTCGCACAGATAAGCAGACAGATTGGTTGGAAGAATATACAAACAAACTATCAGACGGATAGATAAGCAGGGAGACGGATGGATGGACAGACGGAGGAATATGTAGACTGCCGAATGGATAGACGGACGCACAGACAGTTATGTGCACAAGTAGACCAGAAAATAACCCTATATATAGAGCTAAAAAGAGTCAGATATTGTTGATCATAATCGATACAGCCCACTGCCTGTTGCAATGTATTCCAGGGTATGCAAAAATAATAGACGTCAGCTTAGCTTTTGTTTTGGCCCTAGCCACCTGCCTTATTTCCCAGTTGCGCAGCAATTTTCATTTATGATTCAATTATTTATCCAATATACTGACTCACATATGTCTAGTGCCTAGCACAGAGTCAAATCTTGAACAAAAATGGAATTTTCAGTCAACAGCATCACGTGCCAAAAAAAAAAAAGTAGAGACTATATACTACATTTGTATATGGCCGCCATTCATGGCAGATATCTCTCTCCCTCTCTCTATCTCTCTCTCTCTACGCATTCTCTTCACATTTGGGCGTTAATCAAGGCGTTTACTCAGTTTTGGGCTTGATTATAAATCAGAGTCGCAAATTCAGATACTTCTGGTTCTAGTCAGCATTTAGTTTATTTGTTTTTTATTTCCCTTTTTTTTCCCCTTTTTTTTTTTTTTTGATTGCCTAAATTGACAGCCAAATGAATTTGTTTATCAATTCAATTCTATTTGTACGTTAGCCATCAACTTTGCATATGCTTTGCACTTTTATTGGTTATTCAAATGTAACCGAGCTAATTATATAATTATATATGTAGCGCCAAAGAAACTAGTTTCCAAAAAAGAAAAAAAAATTAAAATTCTAAAGAAATTTAGAATAGTTTGGGTTATGGCGTAGTAGAATGAATCGCTGTATGTATGTATTTTATACACATATATACATGTATATAAATATATCTGTGAGTACTACTGTGTGTATTTGGCTATTTGCATCAGTTGCTTATATCATTGTTTGCTAATTGAATTAGCTGAAAACAAAAGCGAAATTGCACGAAAAACCAAACGCCCACCCGACGCCCCCCATTTTCCGTTTGTTTTGCTTCATTCAAGCTTTCCATGCTCATCAATGTTATCGATCGATTTCTTGATTCGTTCCGTTCCGCATTATGCATGCAACGCTCCCAGTTCAAGTTCAACGCAAAAGGAATCTGACTTTTCAATGTCACTCAGCACGAGTGAGCGCAACAAGTTTCAACTGCAAGGGGACGATACAGAAGAGTTCATGCAAATGATAACAATAACAATTAAATTGTTTTTATCTATAGTTGCTCGATGATTTAATACCCTCTGACTTATGCTTGGTAACACAGTATATTCACTGTGAATTACTCATTTGATAGTGGTATCTATATCTATGTGAGTCCCATGACATAATGCATGACTCTGTATATACATATGTATATCGTTGGGGTATACATGCTGACTGAGAAGCTGTAAAACTGTGCGTGCTTTATTTGTATTACGTCTGAGACATTTCTCTTCATCAAGGTCGAGTTGTCTCGTGTACTACGCTTTGTTGCTATTTACCTCTAGCGCTCTAAATAGCTTTTTCACAACTTACTGTAAATAGGAAATGCATAGACATATATATAGTATATACCTATATATTTATATCATAAGTCTGTATGTAATCCATAAGAAATCTGTCTAGTATGAAATCTTTTGCTCTTTCTTAAGAACATTTCATTAGAAAGTTTTTAATATAATCTTAATTTTAATCAATAATACAAAAATAATTGAAAATAATAGCTTTTTTTATGTGTAGCTTTATCTTGGTTAGCAAATTTTCAATGAATCAGTTATAATTATATATATTCAATATACCATAATGAAAGTGTGTGTAATACAGTAGTAATATAAGGAGGAGATGTTGATAGGAAATGATGTCAATGAGCGTATATTATTCAATATATACTACATGTATGTATGAATGATCACACGATGATCGCATAACACACGATTTTACGCAATATACAGCACGGTCCACTTGTTTAGTAACAGTTACAAGGCCTTGGCACTGGCTTCGGTCTCTGTTTACTTAAAGGGGACTGAACTTTACTATGTTTTGACACACATATCCATACGCAAACAAGCACACACACGTACACACATACACCAATACACAATCAATTACTGTTATATATATATATATATATATATATATATATATATTGAATCGTTATCAGCCTCAAACAGTTGAGAGCATTGTGTTATTTATTGCTGCTGCTGTTGCTTGAAATTCATTTAATTGCTCACTCAATTGGTTACTAGAATCGTTAGACCTGACTCCCTACTTACTCCTTACTTCCCACTCTCACCTAAACTCCTTTTCTTGTAACTGCCTCCCCTGACTGAACTTGCTTGCAAATGTATTCCTTCAACACTAGCTGCCTTTACTCACAACACACGTTTCTTTCACTCTCCATTTCAGCTAAAAAGTTTCAGGAGAACTTGATCCGCACTATGGTGCAAATTGAGAATACCTTTTTTGAGCTGGGTAATTCGAGCACACGCGACTGTTTGATCATCTGCGATCGTGGCGTAATGGATGCCAGTGCATGTAAGTGGGCAAGATCCAATCGAAATTCTCTCAAATATACCTCAACTCATTTTTGCTCCTTTCAGATATACCCAAGGAAAAGTGGGAGGAAATGATGGCAATCAATAAATGGAATCCCGTTGAGATGCGCGACAATCGCTACAATCAAATCTTGCATCTGGTCTCAGCTGCCAATGGCGCTGAGGACTTCTACTCCACAGAGGTAAGGCACGCATTTGCCCTCTAATCGATAGTTTTGTACACTTTCCCTTTGGCCAAACTTTTATCAATAAAAAATGTGTGTTTGTTTTTAAATTAAAGAAAAGAAAGCGCATTTACCAGGTATAAACTAATGAAAGCCCATTGAATATATGCTGCTTGAAAATTGCTTGAATTATAATTTAGCAATTGTTTAAAGGGACTGAAGAGTTCATGAATTCGACATGTGTCAAAGCTTTTATAGCATAGTCCCTGCTTCTATGGAGCTTACTAGCTTTATCTACTGCAATACTCATATTCTGTATTATAAGAAAAAAGTGAAGCCAGAGTCCACATAGGTTAAAGAGCAAAGCTTCAAGCCAGTAAAGTTGTTTATATTTAATATAGTATCTAGTAAGCGCTTGACACTCAAGATTAAATGTAGTCCTAATGGTAACTCTGTATCGCTCATAAGTCGTTAGGTGTTCTCTTAAGGCTTTCATGTGTTATCTAATTTCATAAATATTGATCAGTCTTAAGCTAGGGGTGTTTATGCTTGTTGGTGTAGTACATCTAGGTAGCTTAAAGAATTCTCTCTATGCTCTACTAAAGTAAACCCATATATGCTAATCTCTACAACTTCTTGCAGGATCATGCCTGTCGCTCTGAGGGCGTTGAGCTGGCCCGTGAGCTGGACTACAAGTCGGCGGCTGCCTGGGTGGGCCATCCCTATTTCGATGTGATAGATAATTCCACCAATTTTGAGACGAAAATGAATCGCATGATTGAATCCGTGTGCCAAAAGCTGGGCATCGATACGCGCGACCGTTTGCAAGCCACCTCAAGGAAGCTCAAATTCTTGGGTAAGTATTTCGCTGAGTATTCCTCCTATGACTCCCATATATTTATTGCAATTGATATTACGATTTCAGTTAAGAATCTGCCGCCGGCTAGCGAATTCCCAGCGTTCCAAGACTTCGACGTAGTGCATCATTATCTACTGTCGGGTGGACCCAAAGTACAGGCGCGTCTGCGCAAACGCGGCCAGAATAATCACTGGAGCTATATACATACGCAGCGTCGTCCCGATGTGAATAACCGTGAGCGCATTGAGGTCAAGACCCAGCTAACGCATCGTGACTACACGAATTTGCTGGCCCAGGAGGATAAGGCGCACTTTCCCATCTACAAGACGCGTCGCTGCTTTTTGATCAACAATCAATATTTCCAACTGGATATCTACAAGGAGCCATGTCATTCACGGTAGGTTTGCAAAGAATATCCAGTTTACGAGATCTCTTTGAGTAATGTCTTCACTTGCAATAGCTGCAAAAACTTGATACTATTGGAGACGTACTCCTCGTTGTCCGGCGATGCGCTGCAGAAATGTATGCCCACCTTTTTGAATATTGTGAAGGAGGTTACCGGCGATCCGGACTACTCAATGTTCAATCTGTCATTACGAAAGGACTGGAAAACCTGCCGCTCGACGGCGCATGGTAAGCAGCAGAAGCAACAGCCACAACACCAGTCGCCAAAATCATCGCCGGAGAGGCAAGAATATCATCCGTATGAAGAGAACAGTGACTAAGGCAGAGCTACTTACCAGAACTACTACTACTACTACTACTACCACTAGTACTACTATTACAACTACTACTACAACAACTACGACGACAGCGATCATACACATTGAATGCTTTTGCTGTCGTCATCAAATCAAAGCAAAAGTCCAAAGAATTTGTAGTCAACTGCTAGTTGTTTGCCTTTCATTCATGTTTTGCTGTACATACGATACGCTACAATTCTTCAAATACCCAAGCAACCAACCAATCATCTTGGCTTGATGACAACTTTTCTTTAGCCTAATTATATAAATATATATTTTTTTAATTTTTTGTTGTAGCTCCTAATAAGGGCGACACAAATGGCGTAGCACCTAATCCAACGGTGCTCAATGGGCATTAAGAAACTAGAATCTCTACTAAATATACACACACACACACACACACCCCTACGACCACACAACCCTAACAAGCGACCATTTTAACTTAATCTAATTAATAGGAGAACAATTCTAACTATATAAATATTTGTAAATTGGGCTTCAGACCTTCGTTTGGCCATCAAAACTATTCAATATATTTTTATAATATCACTAATTATGATTAATTATTATTATGCCACTTTTGTTACCCTACCTCGCGCTAAATTTTCATTCGTTACTTATTTGTGTGTACTTAAAAACACAATTGTGAAATTGCTCAATTGTGTTACCAAAGCGCAGAGTCTAGCGTAATTAAGCAGCAAATTAATCACTATATATGATTGAATGTGTGCATTGATTGTACTTAATTTGTATGTTTCGTTTAGCCCGCCATAAACCCATAGATGGCCAATAACAATATATGTAAGCTGTATATGTAAATGTAAAAGTGTATTTGTTGTTTTAGTTGTATTTCGTGTGTGTGTCTATGCAGCAATCGCTAAATTTAAAGCTAATGTAACAACAAAAACACTTTGAAAAAGCATGTTTCCTTTGTAAACCTCTTTGGAACAAAAAAAAACAAAGTAAAAAAAAATAATAATAAATTAGCTATGAGAAGACCACCAGAAGGAAAAACTGCTTTTCATTTCATTTGCAATACCTTGATTTTTCTAGTCTATATAATTTAGTAAATGCTAAATAAATAGGGATCGGCATATAAAAATTTAAAATACACACTTTTGGTTGCGGTAGCGGGACTAGAGCAAATGCTGAATTGCTGTTATTCCGATTCACTTATCCTTATTGATGCACTTAATGAGTCCATCGACAGCGCGATTAATGCGCAATAGAAACAGATAGCCCACAATGAGAGCTGGCAGGCCGACAAAGGTGGCCAAGGCTTCGTAGATGAAGCGCGGCGCAAAGATCTTCCAGACCATCAAATGGCGACAGTGTATGGTACAGGCGAGCATGGCACAAAAGATCTGCAAATGAAATAGGTTAACGTCAGTGTTACTTTTCCTCAAGTTCGCACAGTTAACTCACCTTAAGGCCCTGCAGCATAAAGAACTGCGTGGCCAGCTTGAAGGCTGCACCCAGGAAAACATCCTCATACTCGTACAACGCCAGCTCGCCACGTGTCATATCAAAGCCCACAGCATCGTTGGCCAAGTCAGACAAAGCTATGGCTGCTGTGCTAGCTTTGCCATTGTTGCGATTGTTGCCATTGTTTGTGCTGCTGTTTCTGCTGCTGCTGCTGCAGCTCTTGATGAGATTGGGAAACAGAGCAAACAGTGAGAAGGTCTCTGTGCTGAGCAGCGAGTACATGCAGTAGAAGAAGATGGGCCCGCAAAAGGTGTTCAGTATGACCAGCGTGCCAGATATGAGATGAGATTGCCCCAAGGCGCTAGAGCGTCCCACAAAGGCAGCGCGCCAATCGATCTGGGACAACGTTGTCTGATGAGACGTGGCAAAGAAGCAAAAGTGCGCCAGCAGAAACCAGCCGACCACAGCGCTAAATGTGGGCTGCACGCAGCTCTCTGTAATTATAGATCAACATTAATTAAAGAGAAACATTAGTTTAGTTAATTAATTACAGCATACCAAAGCTGTTGGCTGTGCGATAGCGTAGAATGCCATGCAAACTCAATAAAATGGCGCCAACGACAATGCAGACAATCAGACCGATGCTCGCACGCGGCTCGAGCAGCACTATCATCAGCATGGCAAGGAAGACGCCAAAGGAGATGATGATCGATGAGTAGACGGTGGCCAGGCCATAGACAACGGGTATCTCATAGCGGCGCTCAGCATCGTCGCCTTCGTACATGCGCTTCATCTTTCGAAAGATTTCCGGCACAATGCTATCCTGCCCATTGACAGTAATTGTATTTGGATTTTTGGGCGGCAGCACAAATACCATCAGTGGCGACCAGGAGACAACCAGAATTTGCAATAGCAACAATCCATAGATGACCAGAGCCATAGTGTCAATGTGTGTGCGTTGTATATTCTTGACGGTGCTATTGGCGAGCAGTATATGCCCTCCAGCACAAATGGAAGCGACAGTCGGTCCGTAGCGTGCCAGTAGGACATTTGGTGAATTGCCAGTCAAGTTGCCACAGGAGCGCAAATACAAACGAGTCAGTGTTGTGTACAAAACAATTATGACGACAGCTAGTATATAGGTCTTGCCCATCGCTGGTTTCTTCACGGAGAAGCCCGCCGTGCTGGCGCTTGCGAAATCTGCGCAGTTGCCTTGCTCCTCGCGACAGCGGAATAGCGTGTAGGCAAAGCGTATGCAGCAAATGGCCAACAAGCTGGCCAACACCAATCGCAGGGCTGTGGAGCGCAAGAGCTGTGACCATTTGAACTTATTCTTGAAATCCAAACGTGCGCTCAACTGCAGCAGCTCGTAGATAAGCAGCAGAATGATGGCCACTAGCAGATAGGACAATATCTTGGCCTCCTGTATGACAAAACTGTTGGAGAAGAAGACGGCGACACTGGCAAAGAGCAGCAGGCGCGTTGGCATATGGCCAAAACGCTTAACATTTGCCCAATTGTTGGCAATGTTTTTCCAATGTCGAATCGTATAGAAAGCCAGCAGAACAGCGCTGAGCAGACTGGTAAAGAATATGACGCCATGCTCCTCCGTCTTGAACGAAAAGTTCTTGTAGTAGCGATAGCCAAAGACGCCAGCAGCAATGTTAATCAGAAACGTGTAGAACACCTCTTTGGGCTTAAATATTTGTGCATAATCGCCGGCATTCGAGTTGTTCACCAGCAGAAAGGCAAAGAAGATGGGCAGAAAGCTGAATAGCAAGCCCTGCGACATCTGCGTGGGCTCAAACTTAACCCAAATCTCGCGACAGACATTGAGGATGTCACGTAAATTGATATTTAGATCGCGCACAAACGACTTGAAGGCCGCCTCGTTGTAGATTGTTTGCACACGATGTGTGAGTAGTATAAATTCCGTTTCCAGCTTATCCATTTCCTCGACATTAAACGTGCGCTTATTCTCCATGGCATATTTGAAGAAGTAGCGATAGATTTGATGGGCATTTTGCCAGGCGTGCAGCAGCAATGTTTGAAATTTACTCAAATGTGGCACTGCTATAGCGGGCACTATATTAAAATTAATGAGGCCGAGATTCGAATAGGGTATGGGCACGCCGAGTATGGTCGATAAAGTGGGCACCAGATCAATCTGTAAGACAAGTTGTTGGTTAGTTCTTATCGGTATGACGTGTGTGCTCGAGATAAAGTGTCAAGTCTTATCTGGCGTTACCTGCTGCAGTATTTCGCTATCAGATCCCGAATCGTTGCTGGTATAGAATTTATGCTGCTTTGTGTAGGCAAACAGCAGAGCATTCGTTTCGTCATCAGTATCACCGCCATGATCCCCACTAGCCGTCATACCATGATCGCCCATTATCAGCAACGTGGTCTCATTATCCATGCCAGCCACGACGGAGCTACAAAGATATATACATAAATTGAGCACATATTGTGATGTCTTTGATTTGATAAAGATTTCCTACCTTATAATATCATTCATTTCGGTTAATTTGCGCGCCATTTCATCGTGAATGGGTCCATGTTTGTGGCCGCAATGATCGACGCCCAGGAAATGTGCTATGAGCACCTGCCAATCATTGCTGGCCAGCTCCTTGGGCAGATGCTGCATTATCTGATTGTCTACGCTATCCAAATCGAATATATCGAAGCTGGGATAGGAGTAGGCCCGCTTGAAACGACGTGGATACAGATCAGTCCATGTGCTATCGCCCAGAAAAACCAAAGGCAAATGACTCTTGACCATCTGATCAATGATATTATCCTCATTTATCTCGGGTGAGGCAAAGTTGGATCCGATGTCAATAAAGGTGGGCAGACTGCCTGTGGTGAGTCCCTTCAAGCGTTGCAATGTAGTCGTGGGCGGATCTGCTCTAAAGCGCATCAGACGCGCATGCTCCGGTGACTGTTGCAACAGCCGATGCAGCACATCCAATTTGTTTTCATAAGGCAACGGCGGTTCAGTGGCATTCTCGTTGTACACACCAAATTCATATTTTAATGCATCTACGACAAGAATAATAACTTTCGATTTTTGTGGAAGACATAAATTGGAGGACGTCGAGGCATTGACATCCTTAAAGATCTCCTGGACCACCTCCGGTGTCAGGTAATATTCCTATTTAGATAGAAGAAGAAGAAACGAAGATTTAGTTACTCACCCAATCAATTTACAACAATCGTACACTTACATCGTCGGGATTTGTGGATAGGCGGCGGCAGGTGCTAGTCTCCGTCTTGGAGACGCGTGCCAACAGAAATCCTCGGGAAAAGAGCAGCACACCGCTGCATATCAAATAGGCGAGCCAAATGAGCACAAACAAGTATGTGTAATTCATTGTGAGACGCCAGTACGCTTACGCTAATTACGACTATTTATTGTGTTTAATTGCACTTTTAATGAAGAGCCACTTAAATACGTCAAGTGTTCGTCTGCATCACGATTCGTACTTAATTTCATTTAGAGTTTGTCATTTCTATAAATTTTTTCACAGCTTTTTCTGTCGCTCTCTGTAAACTGTGCTGAGCAGTGTTGCCATCTATTTTGTTTTATGCTTAGCAGCAGCTGTTGTTAAATTTTATGCAGCCCTGTTCAACACAAAGTGAGAGAGAGAAAGAGAGAGAGAGCTGTCGGATGGCTGCAGACAGCTTGGCGCTATATTTAAACTTAAATAGAATCAAAACAAACATTTCCTTTGATTGGGGCACAAAAATGTTCGTTTTTATTTAAAGTTCCCATACACATATAGCAAATCTTAGATCAAGTATAGTTGCAACGAATTAGCTTTGTGTGTGTGTGCTTTAAATTTTGTATATATTCAACGGCCATT